CTGACGGAGATAAAACATAGGTAACGGCGCAATACCACCTCGCCTCCCCGGGGCTCCGTGGAACCCAGGCCAGTGAGCTTGCGGTATAGCAGAATGGGGGTGTCAGAAAGATCGGGCACCGAACTAATGAGACCGGGTGACGCTAATTTCCCCGAAGTGGTGAGGCTGCGCGCTCCCGAAGATTGGGATGGCGTCAGAGCCGTCCATCCAGCTTGATTCAGATCGTCGCGGGTCGGCTGTGCTGTATGCAGTCCGCAGGGAGGATCGGCCCATATGAAAGGGTGAGGTTGCCCGCTGCCCGTATCACGCTGGCAAGAGGTTCATCTCGTGTCCGCCCTCTCTCCCTTCTTCTCGTTCTTTCATCTCTTGTTCTGCGAGTCTCTTGTTGCTAAATCCAGCCCGTCCCGCCTGATATTAGCCTTCACGCTGAGGGATCTTCCTTCATATTAGCTCTTTGTCTTGCACCCTGCCCTCGTTTGCCTTGATATTTCCACTGCTCGAAGCCCCTCTCGAGTGCCCGATCATCGACGCCGATCGGATACCGTTCGGTTGACCGAAGAGCTACTCTAATACATAAATCACAACTCTCGTTCATCAATCTCATAATGGCGACGCAGGACAAGTACGCCACATATCCCCCCCAGGCGCAGGGCCAACCGCCGCAGTACGCACAACAAGCACCCATGGCGTCGCACCAGCAACCCCACGGGCACCTAGAGAAGGACGCGGGCGAGTGGCAGACGGGGATCTGCAGTTGCGGGCCTTGCTCCTCATGCTTGTTGAGCTGGTGCTTGCCATGCATCCTCCTGGGCCAGACCTCGGAGCGCATTCGCGATCCCTCGATGCAGAGTGCGGATATGATAAACTCGGACTGTCTCCTTCATGGCGGAATCAGCTGTTTTACCGGCTTCGGCTGGATGTAAGTCCAAATTCTTTTTTTAACCCCCCGCTCGTTTATCCTCGCCCCCTTCATCCAGGAACCGCTTTCGTCTTGCTCCATGTGGTGGTCCCTTCGGTGAGCGACGTGCAGAAATAACCCCCCAGCTAACCTATGCGGCTTCAGCTACGCCATGATTAAGCGCGGCGAGATCCGCGAGCGGTACGGCATCAAGGGCAGCGGGTGCGACGATTGCTGCGTGTCGTACTGGTGCCCGTGCTGCGCGCTCATCCAGCAGGACAACGAGGTCAAGATCCGACAAAAGGCGCAGCCCGTCACCCAGGGCTACCAAGCCCAGCCCGGCATGCACGTGGTGCCCCCGCCGCAGCCCGCGCATCACCCTCACCACTGAGGAGAGGAGAGGAACAAAATAAAAAAATTATTGTCTGGGTGGGCGCCCGGAGTTCGGCGCGCGATGCATGGTACTTTTTTTTTTTCGGTTTGTTCGGAGTGCGATTCTGGCCAATTGTGGCTTCAGGAACGGGATAGAGTTGGACGGGAACAGGGATGGCCCGCCCGTGTACCTGCGTTTAAGACCAGGGGGAAATAAATGGTCGAATACCTACAATTACCAGCGCCCTATACCATACCCGGCTATGCTGAACTTTGCCTTGATAGTAGACTCGAATATATCTTTATGACCAATGCCAGCCTCAAACGAGGGTTGCCATTCGAATTATCGCTCAGGAAAATCATCAGCTGGGAGCTCATAGATGCCTATGAATCTAAGGTCTGGTCAAGTCCACAGCAGGGGTAGCGTTTAAGACGCCACAGAGCCTTAACTAATTCCACGGCGCCACGTGCACGAAAATTAAGTAATTACACTGTTTGGTTAGGCAACAATATTCAGAAAACCGTTATATGAACCCGACAATGACCATTTCGGTCTCGGTGGCTTTCAAGGCGTTCCTCTTGGCAATGAGGTATTAGCTGTTGAGGGTCAATCTATCAAAACTGCAACGCGGCCCATATGTGCATAGGTACATGAATGATGGCATCGCCCGACAACGTGGTGCGGAATGTAGGGTCGCAGTAAGCTACCTACAAGGTTGAACCCATTTTGCTCTCATCGACTTTTCACCTCACCTCACCTCACCTCACACTCATACAACTCCCCTCTCACCCATTCAAACATAGACCGATGTGGTGCACCACAACTAACGCTCAGCCTCCCGTAGTGCCAAATACAACACGGCCCGACATAGCCTGGGCATTCTACGCGCCGTGATCGTGACATGTCGGTACAGGACCTCAGCCGCCCATCTGCGGCGGCAGTCCCTCCTCTCCCTGCACGACGCCGTCGAGAACGCGGTGGCCGCCGTGGTCCTGGAGCAGGCGATGCTCCGCGTCGGCATCGTCGGCGAGGACACCAGGGAGCCTGCCTTCGTGCACCTCAAGACCATCGACATGCGCCGCATGATCGAGTGGAAGCCGCTCGGCGCACCCACCGCCCCCGCCCCGCCCAGCGCACGGGCGGGGACGGACGGGCGTGAAGAGGAAGAGGGCCAAGGAGGAGAAACAGACGGAGAAGACGAAGAAGAGGCGCGGTACGAGGACCGCCTGCTCCGCTCCCTCGAGAGGTACCACGGGGACCTCTGGGACGACCTCGCGAGCAAGCCGGGCTGGAAGGTCGTCGTGCACCACGACCCCCGCCAACTCGACGCGCTCGGGCCAGGGCACGAAGACGACGACGACGACGCGCAGCTCTCCCTAGACGTGTCCTTCTGCTTCCACCACGCGTACTCGGACGGCCTGGGCGGCTACATCTTCCACGGCGCCCTGCGGCGCGCCCTGAACGACCCGCCGTCGCGGCCGGCGGCGGCGCTACTACTACAAGACCACGTCCTCCACCTCCCCACGCCCCCGGCCCTGCCGCCCGCCATGGACGCCCTCGTGCCCTTCAGCCTGTCCTGGGCCTTCGTCCTGCGCACCGTGTGGGCCGAGATCCTGCACCCGACCCTGCGGCGCCTGCTGCGCGTCGCGCCGCCGACGACGGCTGCCCTCCCGTGGACCGGGGGACCCGTCGACCCGTCGTCGTCGTCGTCGGGCGCGGGGGGGACGCGCATCCGCGTGGTCTGCGACGCGGACGGGCCGGCCCTCGCGCGCATCCTGGCGCGGTGCCGCGCCCGCGGGGCCAGCCTGACGGGCCTCCTGCACGCGCTCGTCGCGCGCTCGCTCGGCCGCGCCGTGCTGCTGCCCGGTGGCAGCGGCAGTGGCAGCGGGGAGGCGTCCGGGTTCCGGTCCACGACGCCCATCTCCCTCGCGCGGTGCGCGCGAGCAGACCACCCGGCCTTCGCGCCCGGCGAGACGATCCACTGCCTCGTCACGGCGCTCACCTGCGACCACGACGCCGAGGCCGTGCGGCGGCTACTGCTCCGGCGTCACGACGACGACGACACGCGGGGGGGAATCTCGGCGCAGGAGGACGACGACGACGAGGCGGTGTGGGCGTTCGCGCGCGACATGACGACCCGGCTGCGCGCCAGGACCGCCGAGCTGCCGCGCGACGACGTCCAGGGGCTGGCCGGTCTCGTCGGGGACTGGCACGCCTTCTTCCGCGCGCGGTTCGGGCGCGCGCGGGAGTCGAGCTGGGAGCTCTCGAACCTGGGCAGCCTTACCGCTGACGACGAAGACGATGGCATCAGAGATCAAGGTCGGAATCAGGGTCAGAAGCGGGAGCGGGAGCGGGATGAGGGCCAGCGCTGGACGGTCGACCGCGCCGTCTTCACGCAGGGCTCCAACGCCACCAGCGCCGCCATCTGCTTCAACGTCGCCGGCGTCGCCGGGCGCGGCGTCTGCGTCACCGCCAGCTGGCAGGACGGCGTTGTGGACGTCAGCATCGTGGAGGCCGTCGTCCGTGAGCTGAGGGCGTGCATCACTAAGCTTGGGGAGGCTTGATGAGGGTGCCTGTGGTGCTTAGGGCAGTATGTAGTTCGTCGAACCACAAGGTTTAAACATATAATGTGTAATGTGTAGGAACTTTTACGGTTAATATTTGACCGGCCGAAAAAATATAGAAGAAACGGGTATCAGGCTTGCCGGGGGCTTACCGGGAACAATACATTTGATAGATAACAGAGGCCACACACTCTGTCTGAAGATTCGGATTCTCGCCGAACGGGGGGTTTATTGATGATGTATGCATGCTAACGTCCATACCCTGCTTGTCATAGAGTAGAGACCATCACAGAATCCACGACACTGTCCATGCAACAAGGGCTCGCGACGGGGGCTTGGAAGCAGGTGTTCTATTGATCTGACAGTCTAATATGGTATCAAGGATAACCCCTAAGGTTATAGACCATCCCTTTTCTTCTCCCCATGGTAGATTTCGCCAGGCTTTAATAGTCTAGATAGCCTCAGTTTCTTCGCCAGGTACTTTTCCTCCCGGGTTCTGAATCCAAAGATGATCGCTTAAGCATTTTTTTCAACCACACGCGGTGATGCACCCCATCTTCCTCAGCTAGTTGTACGCGAAATAGTCTACGCCGTGAAGCTCTGTTGTAAACTAACATGAGCCAACGGAGGCAACTGGACCTTTACTCTCAACTTGCTGGTGCCGCTCAAGTCGTATTATCATTTCTTCTTCTCTTTGACGGCCCATACGGCTGGTCGGGTCTCGGGAGTCATTTATACATGGGATTGAATAAGGAGTGGTGACCGAGAAGACACAGTGCAGTGAATCTCCCGCTAGGAATTAATAGGTTTGGATAGTAATGCACTTTCGCTCACGTGCTATCTGTTGATTGTGTGCCGGCATCTTTCTACATTCACAATTTCCTCTTCCCCCCCTTGGATTTTTATGTCTTTGTGATCCGGCCTGCCGTCGGCTCATAGATCTAGGTTTGCAATAAAGGGGCTACAGGAGTGGCGAGCCTAAGAACATGTGGTATACACGTTACACGCCCAGAATGGATAGTGGAAAGGCGTTGATGTTACTTGGGATGTGTGCACCCAGTAGATGGAGGATACCACCAAAATCGATTTCTTTTGGCTCCAGTGTACGCGTTTCTTGAACTTGGCTAGGGGGCCGGATGTCCGAAACTTGACTCATGCTGGTTAAGCTCGTGTGACGCAGCGGTTTAGCGTGTTGCTCTTATACTCTCTTCCCACCAGAAGCTTGTATGATTAGAAATGCAAAGGTCGTGAGTTCGATCCTCACCTCGAGCAGCATTTTTGGCTCTTTGGCAAAGCTAGTGATTCCTTTTATCTTTATATGTTTGTTCTCATTTTCTCTCTCGTTTCCCTCCACGCACGGTATTGTGATTCTCTCCTACTGCTAGTCAACTGTTATTTACTAACGGATAGGCACGGTACTTATGGAAGATTTACACGTGCACAAATTTGAATAATGAGTACCTATGGACTTGAGGTGCAGAATCATATAGGCGCCTCTCTAGCAGATAACTGCCCGCTTGATATTGTCTCCGAAATAATCAGTAGTATATTAAGTTTGTATAGCGTATAAAACCGAAGTATCCGTTGTCGTAGCTTTCGAGTACCACTCCTGACGTAAGCGTTATTATCGTTTCGTTATTTTGTATGAGTCCGATAACGACGAATCTTACTCCCGGGAGAGACGTTCAGCCCCCAAGGCACAACAACTACAGTACAAAACATCCCTCGAAAAGTATCGCGCTTGGGGCTGGCTGTGTGTCATAATGACAAGTATGCCTTAGCCTTGATATTAACGAAAACAAAAGTTGCTGTTATGACATATCCTTTCGCCATTCAGCCAGGCCGTTTCTAGGCCCTATTCGTAGGTCTCTAATATCTGAATACGTTCGGATGTTCTAGACCCAGGCTATTAGTATCAGGCGATTAGTATGAGAGCCCAGTGATCTATTCATTGCAGAAGCCAAGATCTACCGGTGCAGCATTATCCGAGATGTCGCGCAGAAGGCCAGCCTAGAGGACCGCCACGAGCCTGCAGCGCAGAAGCAACCGCCGAGTTACAGCCGAATCGGAGACCCCGCACCCTACGCCGTGATTTCTGACGCTGAACGCGCCATGTTTCAGCTCATCGCTTTCTTTTTATTGTCCCGGGACCAAGATCCGATCCATTTACTCGTCTAGCTTATTCTACGATTAAATCCGCAACTCAGTAAGCACGGAGTGGCCTATATGCCAAGGAGGCTTCAGCGCGACGAATTACGTTCTGGCTGGGCTAACGCTGTAGACTTGCGTGTCTCGGCAGGGTATTGGGCGCGAGAAAGGCTATTGTTTTCCACGCATGTTTCTCCCAATGTGACAGTGCGAACGTGGTTCCGTGCTGAGGCCTCGGTCAGGTGATAACTCCTCAGCATTATTCACACGTTGCTTGCCAATGACTGCACCTGCTTCCTCGACAGATCAACAGGGAAGTGTAGGGGTCGTCTAAGATAGGTCTTTTCTGGAACCTGATTGGAGGTTTTCGACTCGAACTTTCTCGGGTGGGTTGCAGATGACTGGTGCAGACTCCCCTTCTACAGCTTGGATCGTAGGACAGGTGACTTAAATGGCCGCGCCAATGGGCTTAGTTGGTTTCGGTTATTAGCACACGAGAAGATTGACACCGCCGGCCATAAGGAAGTGGTAAAATCGGTATTGATAAGCGTAAATAAATATTTCGGGTTTCGAAATAAAGCTTGTGATGCCAGTAAGCTGACCCATGTCTTAACAACTTTTTACTAAGCCATGATACGGTATGATGAGTTTAAGTAGAGAGATAGCATGCTTCTCATCGACCCACTAAAGCAATGGACATGTCTTTCTAGGACAAGAAGAAGTGTTGGCCCCCGTTATCATTTAGATTCAAAATCTTTAGCAGGGTAAAGTCTAGACTAGCCCATCCACAAGAACAAGAGAGAGACACGTAATTAATATGGTTTACAGGTATATGGTCCCAGGGAATCGATAACGGCGTAAGATACAAAAATTGGATATCTTAGTTGATACTCTTCGTCTTGGGATTCCCCATGAATAACAACACTGGAACGAGTCAGAGTAAATCGCTTCTCGTGTATTGAGCATTGTCCAGCTTTGCTGTAATGGCATGCCTCTGGAGTGCAAAATGTTTTTAGAAGAGAATTCGTCAGAAGTCGATGTCATGAGCAACAGCTACTCATATCTTAGCTACAATGCTCCGCACTCGGGCTACAAGTTCATTATACCAGCGTCACTTGAGAATCAGCAGATTTTGACAACTGAAAACTATGATTTAGTTATGCTAGCTCTCGTGACAATTCGTACAATGATAATAAGGAGGGCATTCTGGCAACATTTTCATGATCTGGGTCATTGCAGATCCATTCATCTCGTGACAAGCGGCTCAGCCGCCGAAATTTAAGGAAAGGCGGAAGAAGAAGGCTGCAAATCTGCCTGCAAATGTGTCATATAGACAACCGCCCATTTAAATGCCAACACAAAAGGGAAACAGAACAAAGGAAATTGATATAGTTATGTACCCAAGACTCCAACCCAAAACCACATTTCAAGTGGTTCTTTTTAATCCTATAATTCGGCGGCGAAAGACTCACCGCCGGCATTCATATCGACCGCCATGCTGTGTTTGAGGCCACACACCTCGAATAGCTTGACGGGCGTGATATCAGCGGGCGTGCCGACGACGCCCTGGTTCTTCAGACGCATCAGCGTCTCGCGGATGGCGATGTAGGCGGGGGCGATGGTGGCGAAGCTGAAGATCATGATGCGGAAGCCCATCTTGCGGGCCTCCTCGACGGTGATGAGCGGGCTCTTGCCGTTCTCGACCGAGTTGAGCAGCAGGGGCCAGGGGGCGAGGTCCCTGACCGCCTGCGCGGCCTGCTCCTTGGAGGTGAAGCCCTCGAGCAGGCCGACGTCGGCGCCCTCGTCGCGGGCCCGGCGCAGCCGGCTGATGCACTCGTCGTAGCCGAGGCTCTGGAGGGCGTCCGTGCGGGCGATGAGCACGAAGTCGGACTGGAGGCGGACGCGGGCACCGTGGGCGGCGCGGATGCGGGCAATGTACTCATCGGCGGCGACAACCCTCTTTCCGCCGAGGTGTCCGCAGCGCTTCATCAGGACTTGGTCCTCGAGGTGGGCGCCGGCCACGCCGGAACGGATGTACTGCTCTACGGTTCGAGCCGCCATGATGGGACCTGAGTAAGACACCCACGTTAGCATACTTTAATTAACGAACGGTATATTGGGTGTTCTCAAGATGCAGATCGTGAGGGGAAATCCGGTTTCTTGGTGTGTGGGTTCTCACCTCCATAGCCAGTGTCCATATCGGCGATCAGGGGTGGGCCGAAGGGGTCGAGGTTGGCAATCATCTCCGCGTTCTCACGCATCTCATGCAGCTGGGCGATGGCCAGATCAGGCTGTCCAAGACGGGAGGCTGTCGTTCCCGCACCAGTCTAAAAAACAAGCATTAGCTAAAACCGCAGCCAGAGCGTGTTGGGCAGGACAAGCGACGGGGTGATATCTATTACGTACCATATACATGGCATTGAACCCTAGCTCAATGGCAGTTCTGGCTGACAGGCCATCGTAAACACCAGGGCATATGATCAGTTCCTCGGTTTCGAAAATCATCTTCCGCAACTTCTTAGCCCCGGACATAGGCTCGCTGATGCTTGGGACAACTTCATTGAGGCTGAGCCACTTGTGTGACTGGGCGGGAGACTCCAGCTGCTCAGCACGTCGTGGTGGTGGGCCGTCAATGAAGCCCTCGCAAGCTGAAGCAGTGTCCGACAAGTCTTCAGCGTCAATCTCAGCAGGGACTTCAACAGTGATAGGTGCGGGTGTGGGTATCTGAGGCTCAGTCTGTGACTCGACTTCTGCCTCAGGGGCCTCGACGATGACGGGTGACTCAGTCTCAGGTTGAGGTGCTGGGGTAGGAGTCTCCTCCTGCTCAACAAGACCTGGTGGGGGGCCGTCAACGAAGCCCTCACAAGCTGAAGCAGTCTCCGACAAGTCTTCAGCGTCAATCTCAGTGGGGACTTCAACAGTGTTAGGTGCGGGTGTGGGTATCTGAGGCTCAGTCTGTGACTCGACTTCTGCCTCAGGGGCCTCGACGACGACGGGTGACTCAGTCTCAAGTTGAGGTGCTGGAGCAGGAGTCTCCTCCTGCTCAACAAGACCTGGTGGGGGGCTATCTACGAAACCATCACAGGCTGAAGAAGGCTCAGTTGAGTCTTCAGAGGTGATTTCGGTGGTGATTGGTGTAAGAGTAGGCTTGAATGGTTCAAAGTGAGGGTTAGACTTGACATCTGTCTTTGCAGCCTCGATGATGATGGTGGACTCGGTCTCGAGTTGAGACACTGGGTCATTCGAGATAGCAGAGGGAGCCATTGTTGTTGATATTGGTGTGGAACGATGGAAGGGTGAACAAAGAGTAGAGCGAATGTGTTAGTCAAGAGTAGGCTTCTGACTGTTGGTGTTCGAGATGAGAATTTGTGACTTAACTCCCGGTGGAAGATACTATTTATATTGGTTTCTGAGTCCATGGACAGCTCGTCTACCCTGACAAACTCAACGATAAATGTTGCATGCCGAGCCAGTTCTCCGTAACTCCCTTCGCCCCTGCGGATATCTCTTCTTGCTCATGGGGACTGTAATCGCCGGTCCAAATGAACGAGTCGACTTGGCGCATGTCTTCTTTCGATATGGCAGGCTGGTACTGTGCGCCAAGGGAGTTCCAAAATCGCCGGTGCTCACGATCCCTTGTGAATCGGAACATCACTGTTATTGGTAAACGTCATGTCGATCCACACCGATACTCGGTTTCCGAAGAGTAAGCTATTAGTCTACCTCTTGGGAAGATTTCTTGACCCATTTGAAATACGAATACAACATGTGAAGATATCTACAGTGAATACACAAATAGTAGTTAATATTTGATACCTCACATCTCTTGAACGTCTCGTTAGGAGTGATATGACACCATTAAACAGGTAGCTTGCTAACATAATGACACTGGGACGATGCTATCTGGAAACTGCTTGTTGTAACTTGGACGGCAGATTCTTAGTCGTATAGTACAAACGTATCTGCACCCCGGGCCAGCTTCGATAAGACCGCTTAAAGTGGGAACTGTGGGCGAGCTTTGTCGAAGTCACATCACAGCGGATCTATCCGGGTTGGCATAGCCACGATGCTGTTCCACCCCATGTTGGCCTTCAACCGATTCGATCGTTCTAGGTCAGTCGCTC